AAGACCGGCGAGAAGTGACGGCATAGATATGAATAATTGCAGATTGACGCGATAGGGACGGACAATTGAGTCAAGCGCGGAATAAAGTGCGTGAATCGTTCGTTGTGAATTATAGCGTGTATTGCAAAGTTGAATTGAGAAATAATAAACTAGTTTTAATTAAGAAAGAACTCGTATCGCTAAGTTTTTTGGAAATAATTTTTACGGGTAATTAACAAAGATCAGAGACGTAACAATATATATATATATAATTTATAAAAACAATGCTTAATCCTTCTATCTGTCCATTGTCAAAGAAAGCAAGAGTACTGATCATAACATGGAAGTATTAATTTGATTATGTCTGAAATATTTGTTTAAACGTAGACATATAATCCATTTAAAATATATTGTCGAGTTTCGTGTTCAAAAACAACTTATTATTTTAAAGGTAGTGTAGGAATTCAAGTATACATAATTTTCATGTGAACCTGAATTCAGTTTTACTTTTAGTGTGAACTGAGACTTAATTACTATGACTAAAAATTACTGTATATGCTATTTTAGACTTATTGTTAAATTCAAGTATAGAAACGATCGAGAGGGTGGAAACTGGGGAACATCTGATCATTGATCATTGCTCTATTAGGTTCAATGTTTTGCTGCATATGGAAATAAGAAACAATGATATTTGGATTACAAATTTCAAAAAAGCAAATTTTGAATGGATGCAACAATAATTATCTGTTGTGAATTGGTAGCTGAATTACTTGGAGACACTGATCAAATGTGGAAAAGTTTTAAAGATAAATTTTTAAATATTCTATGTAAACATATTCCTAATAGAAAGAAAAGGGTAGCTGCAAGCAGAAAATCAGGTTGGCTCACAAAGAGTATAAGAGATAAAATTAAAGAAAAGCATCATAAATTTAATAAATTTAAATTGACTAATATGACAGGAGACTTAGAAGATTATAGAAAATCAATAAAGTTGGTAAAACAGGAAATTAGGACATCAGAAAGGACGTATGAGAAAATGCTGGATGAAAATGTAAAAATTAAAAGTAAGGATTTCTTTAAATGCATTAAGAGTAGACAAAATGTTAGGATGGGGTAAGACCCTTGAGGGATGATAAAGGAAGGCTCGAATCTGAGGATTATGAGATGGCTGGATTATTAAATTTTGCTTTTTCTTCGGTTTTTACTGACGAAGATTTAAGCAGTATTCCACATCTTGAACATTTGATAGACGGAAATGAGATTAAAAAAGATGAGTGCATTAATTCTGAGCTGGTTAAGAAAAAACTGGGAAGTTAAAGAAGATAAGGCTCCTGGATCAGATAATATTTCCCCAATGGTTATGAAGGAGGTTAAGGATTGGATATGTGAGCCACTTGCTACTATTTTTTGTCAGTCCTTGAATAATGAGCAGGTACCAGAGAATTGGAATTTAGCTAATGTAACTCCTCTTTTCAAGGGAGGTGATAACAATTGTACCAATAATTGTAAACCCTTCCGATAATGTACATTATCTCCTCTCACATAAATAACTATTCTCGTTCAGTGCTGCCCTCTATATGCAAACAAAAATTATGCATGCCACAAGCCTTTTATCTCCCGTCCATTGGACTCAATTTTCCTACACTGAAAATGTATTTCCGATAAGTTCTTACCTCTTTTCACATAAATAGTTATTCTCGTTTAGTGGTGTCCTCTATATGCAAACAAAAATTATGCATACCACAAGCCTTTTATCTCCCCTCCATTGAAATTGATTGATTCCAATGCATCTTTCATGCAATTCATCATGCGTCAACCCTCCACCAATAAGAGTGTGACATACTCTCATGACGCATGTGACTCTGGTAGTATTCGTGTACAGACGTTTTTTATTTTTGTAATCTTCGTGTGAATCGTGATTTTAATAGTTTAATTTCTGAAGTGGGATTTCTTTATTATTATACTTTACATTGAAGAAATCTTTTAAATTAACTTAATTTCCCAGTCCTTTCTTCCACACTCGCCTATTTTACATCAAACACTTTTGTTTGATTTATGTATTTCTACAATGAATTCTGAGGTTCACGTTCCCACTTCAGGTGTTATAACTGTAGCACTATTTTCACAGGCTGCAGGTGGGGGGAGACCAGTCGTTGGATTTCTTTGCTATTATTCATTGTGAGATTCATGTTATATGGGCCAACCTTCTTCTCCTGAACCTGCCCCACTAATCCTCCTGAACAAGCAGAACAAGCACGTTTGTCGCAATTGGAGACACGACACGTCCCTATTCCTTTCACATCCTGGCCCTTATCTACCAGTCTCTGTACCCCTTCCAGGGTTTTCTCATTTCGTTGTTTTATTCAACGTTGATGGGCATGTTGCCAACAGTCCCAGAGACTAATCAGAAGGATTCGGTCCAGTGGAAGCTTGACTAAATTATATTGTTACCTTTTGATGATCTTTCACTACAGTTCCGTAGGTTATTCGGGTTTTATCAGAGGGCTTGTCCTATTATTTCTTTCTCCACTTCCTTTGTCCCTGGTACCCTTTTCCTTCCCCATGACTTTGGATCCTACCACTAGCTTACGTCTGTCCGAGGAGGTATAAGATTTTCTGTCCCTACAGGCCGTTGCATCTGTTCTACACCTTTCTCCAGGTTTTTATCCCAGACTGTTTGTTTTCCTCGCGCGAAACCAGAGACTGGCGGCCTGTATTAGGTTTGTCTCACTCATTCTAATTTTTAATCTGCCCAGTTTTACCTTGGAGTCGTTTCTCACCCTTAGTTTAATTTCAGGTTTATCGATGCCAAAGAGGAATGTTGCGAATGATTATTTACATATTCCGATATTTCGTCACTCGCGACCCTCTCTTTGAATTATTCTTCATGGGATGGTTTCTATGTTTTGTGCACTGCCCTTTAGACTTGCTTCGGCCCTGTATATTTTAGGGGTTTTCAGAGCATTCATTCATCTCTTATATGCTCTTGGGTTGCCCTTTCCTCTTACTTTGGTCATCTGGCCACTGTTTGCTAATTCCAAACATCAGTCTGCCTGTTACCCTTATCAGCTGCTCCTTGAAGCATCTATAATGGAATGTTAATCAAGTTGTAGAAATTCTTACTGCGACCAATCCAATATATTGTCCATTTGGGTGTTTTTCTTTTTCTACATACATCTCGGTTGGGCCCACTCTTTTCCTCTTTGACTTCGTTCAATGGATTTTCAGTTCGATTATAGCTCACGAAGTTTATTGCTTTTGGGTATGTGGTCTTCCATGGTAGCCATTATCCCCTTATGTCAGGCTCATATGTGGGCTCTTTCGTGCGCTGTTCACTAACAATGGAATTTCACAGGGGTCCTTTGTTGGCTCTTATTACCCTTCCTCCTACACTTGTCATAGTTTGGCGTTTGTGGTTAGATATGACTTACCCGCTTCCTCCTCCTCATCAGGTTTTCCACATTTTATGGATGCATCTCTTAAGGGATAGGGTCGTATATTGATCAACTGGGAGATTCAGGGTTTTTGGTGTGTGGCTGAGAGGTCTTATCCTATCAATGTCCTGAAGCTTCTTGCTGTAGGTCATGTTTTGTTTCATTTTCTCCATCTGGTCATAAATAGTCTGGTAATGATCCCTTCCGATTTTTCTTCAGTGGTTACTTATTTCAATCGCCAGGGCAGCACCCGTTCTCCATCATCTGTATTCATATGTTGGATCTTCTTTTTTGGCCCACACGCTCAATATTCCTATCATTGCTTGGCATGTTCCTGGGGTTCTTTCACTCTTGTCATGGATCAGATTCCTGTCTAGACAACATTTATCCAACAGAATAAGTAAGTTTTTTATTTTTTTCCTTTTCAGGGGTCCTTTTGTTTTCCAGTGGCTTTAACTTTAATGGAGTCCTCCTCACATTGAGGCTTTTGCTATGTCCCTTAACCACAATTTGCTTGGTTTTAGTCTTTAGTTCCTCGTCTTCTTGCTTTGGCTATAATTTTTTTTTCAGCTAGGATTAGATCTACACATTTGTCTATCCTCCCATTCTTCTTCTTCTCCAGATGATTTTGCTCATCCTTGAAACTCTGTGTTCAGTCCTTCTGATAGCTCTTTCCTGGCCATCTCAGCTGTGGTTTCTCCAGCTCCATCTTCCTCTTTTGTTACCGTTTCTCTGTCTCCATCCTTTCTTCGCCACCCTGAGTCACCAGTGATTCATCCAGACCTTCCTGTCCTCCATCTTCATGCCTAGTTTTCCTCTGGTCATTGGTGAAGTAATCCATCTGTCTCTTCCATCTTCGATTTTCGAGCAATCCTGTTCCACATCTTTCGTTTTCCCGATCCTGCAGGTATTTACCTCTCCTACACTTTACCTGTGTGTGTGTGTTCCTTCCAGATTTGTCATCCACTGTGGTATCCTGCCCTTCCAGATGAGGATATTAATGTAGTCCTGCACTGCCTCACTTTGCCTACGTTTTCCTTCCTTCTCCTATTTGCCTCTGGGTGTCAGTGGTCTGTGATTTGACATCGATGTTTTATGTACTCTTTATCCTTCCAGATATCTTCTCCTTTCTCCAGATCAAATAATTCCTCCACTTAGCTGCTTTCCCTTCCTTCCATTGCACACCTATGTTTTCATCCTGATCTAGATAGACTTCTTTGTCCTGTACGTGCTCTTCTCTGTTATATTGTCTGCATGGCTTCTTACTGTGATGTCTGTTCCAACCTTTTTTCTTCCTTGGCAACCATCCTCTGTTTATGTTCTTTCTTCTTCTTCCTTTACCAATTGGGTTTGGCTTTTCATTCGATTGGCTTCTTCCTCTTTATCGTCTTCTTCCCATTCTTTGTTCAGAGTGTCTTCTCACTCAATTCAACACTTTACCTTTTCATTGGTGTTTCATCGTCATCGTCCTTTGGAGGTACTTCTTCAATCGGGCAAGTGGACTATTCTTGATACATTCGTCTCCCATTAGATCGTTGTTTTCTTCCTCTTCGGGTTATCGTCTTCTACCTGTAGCCATTATAAAATATCAGAATTCAGTGAGACTTTGACTAGGTAAGTTTTTCTTATTTTTCCTTTTCAGGGGCCCTTTTCTTTTTATTAATGCTCATTGTTTGGATTCCACTCTGTGGCAGATGGTGCCTGACCAGGTATTTTTTAATTGTTCAAATCCATACTGTCAAGCCATGTCAACTTGCATACTATAATTCCATGGTCACGTAATGCACACTGTAAATACGGAGTATTCCACAAGGTTGCTTGTAGGTTTATCCTCGTGATAGAATTGCTTCATAAGTTTGCCCATCCCAAATTGTACACACCCATGGACCACATGGGTAAAGCAGAAGAGAATAGCTATCTATCCCTGCTATACCCTGTATTGAATAAATTGGTATGGCCTGTTTTTAAAAATAGGGTTTTGTGGTCACCAATTGCACTGTTTTATGCATTGTTTTTCCTCTTCACCAAGTTTTACCATCCTTTTCTTCTAGTAAAGTTTGAGAGTACTTACCATTTTACAGTTCCAACCTGCTGGGGTAGTGGACAATGGAGACATCTTCCTGAATGGACTAATGAAATACAAACAAAAATAGAAATGATTATAAGGCCATGATAGGGGATAATCAATCTATCAATTTATCTTATTCACATGCACCCTGTTCATGAGTCGGGGGATATTAGATTCCCTCCAGTCTCATGAACCTTGTTTTTACCCCCAAATGGATGTCGGTTCCCGGTAGCCTGGGTTTTGGATTGTAGTCGACTTGCCGGCGGTATGATCCTCATCCTACCCCACGTGGATGTTGGTTCCCAGTGGCATGAGTTTTGGATGTAGTTGACTTACAATGTACAGTCTGTCATGCCATAGTCACTCTACACCTAGGGCACATCCTTTTCATTTTACCAACTTTTGTCATTTCTGGGATTGAGTTTCATAAATACTGCATGGTTCGGATAACTTTACAGCAATAGTTCTCTCCCTATTGGATGTGCTTCTCTGTTTTCTGCCTATATACCGTATTTTTCGGAATATAAGACTAACCGGTGTATAAGACGCACCATTATTTTGAAGGCAAAGATTTTGGGGGAAAAAATCTACAGTCGCATTTGAAATATTTTTATTCAACAAAAATTCAATTTGATACTTTAAAAATTAGTATATATTGTTCTAAACACAAAAAGAGCTCAAAACATCAAAATAAGAAATAA